AACCTCCTTTCTGAAACAGGCCCCAGGTGTGTTTGATCAGGGAAGGAGCTGAACTCTGCAGGAAGGCTAGCAGGGTTGAGCAGGCCTGTGCTAGATGATTCCAGCATATCTGCACGAACCTTCTATACAAGAACAATGACTGAGGTGAAAATAAATAAATAATGTAAGGTGAAGCACTGAGTGTGATTTAAAGTTTCTGTATTTTTGTGATTCTCTAGTGTTTTGGGTGTATTTGGGGTGGCGGATTACATTATGGGATGTTGATCTCTGCTCTGTCCACTTCTGATGTTAAAAATTCAACTCTACAGTTTAACAAAGGAACTTTAGTGAAATAATATTATGTATAATTAATAATATGTAGAGAGATAAGTGTGTAGAATAAGAGTAAGTGTGCTGCAGTTTATTACAGGGTTTCTGTAGAGTAATATACAACACCAACACACACAATACAGCACTGCACACTATTACACATGCGCAGAACACACACACTTAACACACTTCAGCTGCTGCTGTTATTTATATGATGTGTTTTGCTATTATATTGTAATGTTGTTAATAAATAAGCTGATGTACAGCATAAATAAAGATAAAAGTTCTGTGTTGTCAGCTGTGGCTGTGGTGTAAACAGAGTTTTAAATAAAACACAAGTATGTGTATTTCAATTTTACCATCTTAATCAATTCTTAAATAAGTCCTTAAAACAATTACGTTTTCCACAATTCCTGCATGAAACGTCTGGAGAAACAATCAGGGATTTGTTTGACACATTGACATCAGAATTATTACAGCACATTTCTAATCATAATAGTGTTAATAACTCATCTCTAATAGCTGGTTTATTTCCTCTTCTCCATGATGACAGTAAATAATATTAGACTAGATATTCTTCAAGACACTAGTGTTCAGCTTACAGTGACATGTAAAGTCTTCACTAGGGTAATTAGGGTAACTAGGCAGGTTAGGGTAATTAGGCAAGTTATTGTATAACGATCGTTTGTTTTGTAGACTATCAAAAAATGTATAGCTTAAAGGGGCTAATAATATTGACCTTAAAATGGGTTTTAAAAAATTAAAAACAGCTTTTATTTTAGCCAAAAATAAAACAAATTAAGTCTTTTTTCAGAAGAAAAAATATTATCAGACACACTGTCAACATTTCCTCAATCTGTTCAACATTATTTGGGAAATATAAAACTAAATAAATAAATCAAAGGGGGGCGAATAATTCTGACTTCAACTGTGTATATATATATATATATATGTAAATTAATTGCATTCAATGCATGTTCATTTATCAGATTTCCATACAGGTAAAAAATAATGCCAAAGCATAACATGAGTGAAGATAAAGTCTATAACCTGCAGTGTTCATCAGCACTAATGTGAAACTAAAGCTATTTAAATATGCAAATCAGCTGACTCCTGTTTAGGAAACTCTGAAGTTGCTTTACCATATATGGAAAAGGAGAATGTGTGGGGGAAATAGATTATTAGAGACACAAATTACGTAAACACACACACACACACACACACACACACACACATACACACAAAGAAAGAGGAACAAACATATAGAAAAAGAAACAGACACACAGACGTACGCACACATATACGCACACACCTGGTGTGGTCTCCGTCATCTGCAGGTCATCTGTGATGTAGGTCAGTGTGTCTGTTATGAGCACCGTCCACTTTCTCTCTCAGAGAGGAAATAGGTCACACACAACCACAATAAACACTCAGAGCCGCGTGTGTGTGTGTGTGTGTGTGTCATTAGTTTATTAAAACTGACGAGCAGACACATAATGCTGATCACACAGGAATGGACATGTGACTGGCCTACAATAAACATCTTAAATATAAAAGACCTCAGACTGTAGATTAAGAGCACACAGAGCGCTGTGTGTGTGTGTGTGTGTTATCCGCAGGCCGATATGGGCTGGCTGAGGCCGCTGAAGTAGGATTTCTCCCTCTCGCTCATGATCTCGAAGTGCAGCGGCTGACGGCAGAAGTTACACTCGGCGGAGGAGTGAGGCTTCAGCGGCAGACCCACCTCTGTCCACGTCTGCGTCAGCTTGTCTGAAACACACACACACACACACACATAAGCACACCACACTTACTTACAGCTTCTAGATTTGACAATAACAGCAGGAGGAGAGCAGCTACAGCACTACACTGACCACAGCTGCACTCGACAAGCCCTGTGTGTGTGTGTGTGTGTGTGTGTGTGTGTGTGTATGTGTGTATGTGTGTGAGTGTGTGTACTCACCCACAAAGTATTTCATCATCTGGGGTGTGTGGTGTGGTGTCGGGGCGATGCGCAGCAGCTCTTCTCCTCGCGCCACCGTCGGGTAGTTGATGGCCTGAACGTAGATGTTGTAGCGGCTCATCATGATGTCACACACCTCCGTGTTCTTCTCCGCATCCGCAACCTGAGGACCACACACACACACACAGCATGAGTGAGTGTGTGTGTGTGTGTGTGTGTGTGTGTTTGTGCGAGATCATGGGCGTGTCTGAATGAGTGTGTACGCACCCGCACGGGGATGATGTGGCTGGGGCAGTGTATGACGGGCAGGCCGCTGTCCATCAGCATCTGGCGCAGCAGTGTGACGTTGCGCTGGTGTTTCCTGCGCAGCGTTCGTCCCTCTTCGCTCTTCAGGATCTGCACAGACTGACGCGCGCCCGACAGCAGCATCGGCGGCAGAGACGTGGTGAAGATGAAGCCGGCCGCGTACGAGCGCACCGTGTCCACCAGCGCGTGTGTGCTGGCGATGTACCCGCCCACACAGCCGAACGCCTTGCCTGAGGACACACACACACACACACACGGGTCAGAACACACACCACACTGACTCTCTACCTGCTGACGGACCATCAAGATGACATGCAGAAGCAGAATGAAGGTACATAAAGCACAACAACACCATGCTGGACGAAGACTAACCACAATAACTCACATCCAAAATAAAGGTGTTCGACATGAGACGTGTGTGTGTGTGTGTGTGTGTGTTATATAGTTATTATATATCTGTATAAAACACAAAATCAGTATATGCATGCATATGTGTGTGTGTAGATGCATAAATATAGACAGAATATAGTATTATTATCATCATCATCATTATTAATATAGTACACTATTACTATTAATAATCCCATTCTCACTGTAGCGCAGACACAGAGCCGCCTGGTCAAGCCTCTGCTGCTGCTGCTCTGTGATCTGCTGATTGAGTTTACTCTGCTCATTATCAGATACTGAGCTCAGATTACAGCACAGTGGAATGAGCATCTTTGTGTGTGTGTGTGTGTGTGTGTGTGTGTGTCTCTCTTTGTGTGTGCGTGTGTGTTTGTGTGTGCGTGTGTGTGTTTGTGTTTCAACACATGCATGCATGCATGATGTTTTCTACACACCGCTGGCTTGGCCTGGTCAGAAATGATGGTGGGTTTGTTTTCCGCTCAGATGAGTTGACATGCTTTGAAATTAAACCTACAGC